GGCAGCATCCTCTTTGACCTCAGCTTTAACAACTTCTAGTATGTAGTAAGATACATCTCCAGAGGCAAGGGAAACAAAAGCAAAAATGAACTATTGGGACCTCATCAAGATAAAAAAAAAAAAAGAAATCTTCTGCATATCAAAGAAAATAATCAATAAAACTAAAAGGCGATCCATGGAATGGGAGAAGATATTTGTAAATGACACATCTGATAAGGGGTTAGTATCCAAAATCTATAAAGAACTTATCAAATTCAACAACCAAAAAGCAAATAATCCAGTTAAGAAATAGGCAGAAAACCTGAATAGCCATTTTTCCAAGAAAGACTTAACAGACACTACCAGACACATGAAAAGATGATCAACATCATTCATCATCACAGAATTACAAATCAAAACTATGATGAGATACCACCTCATACCTGTCAGAATATCTAAAATTAACAATACAAGAAAGAACAAATGTTGGCAAAGATGTAGGGAAAGGGGAACCCTCTTACACTGTTTGTGGTAATGCAAACTGGTGCAGTCCTTCTGGAGAACAGTATGGAGATTTCTCAAAAAGTTAAAAATAGAACTACCCTATGACCCAGCAATTGTACTACTAGGAATTTACCCAAATGATACAAAAATAGTGATTCACAAGGACACATGCACCCCAATGTTTATAGCATCATTATCAACAATAGCCAAATTAGGAAAAGAGCACAAATGTCTATCAACTGATGAATGGATAAAAAAGATGTGATATATATTTACACAATGGAATACTACTTGGTGATCAAAAAGAATGAAAATTTGCCATTTGCAATGACATGGATGGATCTAGAGTGTATTATGCTAAGCGAAATAAGTCAGTCAAAGCAAGACAAAGACCATAAGAGAGTCTTAACCAAGGACAAAAAACAGAGTTGCTGGAGGGGAGATGGGTAGGGAATGGGCTAAATGGGTGATGGGTATAAGGAGGTCATCTGTTGTGGTGAGCACTGGGTGTTATATGTAAGTGATGGTTCACTAAATTCTACTCCTAAACCAATATTACACTATATGTTAGCCAACTAGAATTAGATAAAAACTGAAACAAAAAAACATAAGTACCAAAAAGAAAAAGTTGTCTATGAATCAAGAAGTCAGCTTTCACCATACACTGTATCTGCCAGCACCTTGATGTTAGACTTTCTTGCATCCAGAATTGTGACAATATTGGTTGTTTAAGCTCTCCCTCAAAAAAGAGCAATGGTGGAAGCATCAAACTTACTGTTTTCAAACTGTATGGTAAACCTATAGTAATCAAAAAGTGTTAGTGCCATAAAAACAGACTCAAAGACCAGTGGAACAGAACAGATAGCCCAGAAATAAACCCTTCCATGTATATGGTCAACTAATATTTACCAAGGGAGCTGAGAACACTCAAATGAGAAAAGATAGTCTCCTCAATAAATTATGTTGGGAAAATTGGATATTCACATGCAAATAACAAAACTGGACCTCTATCTCATACTACTTCCTAAAATTACCTGAAAATGAACTAAATACTTAAACGTAAGAAGTGAAATCATAAAACTCCTATAAGAAAGCATAGTGAAAAATCTCCTTGACATTGGTCTACACAATGATTTTATGGATATAACACAAAACCACAAAAGCAAAAATAAGGAGTACTTATTTAACATAAAAGGTTCTGCACAGCAAAATACCAGTCAATAAAATGAAAAGGCAACCTAGATATTGGGAAAAATATTTTCAAACTATAGATTTGATAAGGGGTTAATATTCAAAATATATTAGGAACACATACAGCTCACTACCAAAACCCAAATAATCTGGTTAAGAAATGGTCTAAGAACCTGAATAGACATGTCTCCAAAGAGGATATTCAAATGGCCAACAGGTAGGTGAAAAGGTACATGGTCAGCATCACTAATCATCCGGGAATTACAAATCAAAACCACAAGAGATATCACCTCACACCTAATAGAATGACTATTATCTAAAAGCAAATAGATAATAAATGCTGGTGGAAAAAATGGAACCCTTGTACACTGCTGATGTACATGGGTACCTCCACTATGGAAAACAGTGTGGAGATTCCTGAAAAAAGTAAAAATAGGGCTATCATATGAATCATAAATTCCACTTCTGGGTATATATCTGGAAAAAATAAAACCCTCTGCCTCAAGGAGACATTTTTACCCCATGTTCACTGCGGCCCTATTCACAATAGTCAAGACATGATAACAATCTAAGTGTCCACTGATAGATGAATGGATAAATAAATTGTGATATATATTCATATATACATAATATTCAGTCATAAAAAAGGATGAAATCCTGCCATTTGTGACAACATGTATGAATCTTGAGAGCATTATGTTAAGTGAAATAAGACAGAGAAAGACAAATATTGTATGATCTCCTCATATGTGGAGACTAACACAACCAAAATCCTAGAAATAGAGAACAGAGTGGTGGTTTCTAGGGGCAGGAATAAGTGCCAATGGTTAAATAGTACAAACTTCTAGTTTCTGATGATGCAATGTACAGCATAGTGACTATAATTAACAGTACTGTATTGTACATTTGCAAATTGCCAATAGAGTAGATCTTAAAGGTTCTTACCACACACACACACACACACACACACACACACACACACACACACGGCAGTTATGTGAGATGTGATGGATATGTTCACTAACCTAACTGTGGAAAACATTTCACAAGATAGACATATATCAAATCATTATGCTGTACATGTTAAACAATGATATATGCAAAATTATATTTCATTAAAGCTGGAAAAAATAATGGATCTCCTATATAAATTCATCAAGGTCATATGTAAAAAATATATATAAACAGACCACATATATATACACTAGCAGTGAAAAATTGGAAGATACATTTAAACAATACCAGTTGCAACAGCATCAGAACATATAAAATCTCTATGAATAAATTTAGCAGATGTATGAAATCTCTACAGAGAATTTTTTAAGGACATCAATAATGGAGACATAAACCATGTTAGTGGATGGGAAGATCCAATGTTGATAATATGTCATTTCCTCTAATTCATTCATAAATGATACACCATCCCAATCAAAATCTAAGCCTGTGTGTGTGTGTGCGTGTGTGTGTGTGTGTGTGTGTGTGTGTGTGTGTAACTAGAAAAGCTGGTTTTAAAATCTATATGAGAATGCAAAGTTATGTACAATGTAGTACTGACAAAGAACAAAGTCAGAGGACTTAAACCATAGTGATTTCAAGACATTTAATAAAGCCACAATATTCAAGGAAGTAATTTTTAATTTTAAAAAAACTTCTGGAATATTATGACTGGTAGCTATCTTTTTGAAATCTAATCTTCAAACTCTTTGTAGTTGGCACAATCAGAAATAATTTATTTTTATATTTATATTTTAATGTTATACTGATATTTTAATAGCATTCTTGCTTAACTCGTGTATTCACCTTTTTATTTACAAATTCCTATCATAAAAATTCCAATCAAAACTAAAGTCTTAAAGAATGCCTCAGAAAAACATACATACTAACCACTTATACTCAATAATTATTGTCTGCTTTATTTGCTTCACACACACACACACACACACACACACACACACACAGGATCTAAAAATTAGTCTTCAGCAATGAAACATTGTTTTCAAAGGAGAATTAACAACAACAATGAAGACCTGGACAATTTCTGATGGTCTTTCCTCAAGTTTTCACTGAGAGAAAACCAAAACTAGGCACTAAGAATAAACACAAATCCTTATGAAATGTATGATTGTTCTCTACCCATAGTAACAACCCCACAACTGTTATTGGATTTATCTAATCAATCAATATGTATTTTATAGGAATAATAACAAGTGAAGAACTGATTTTAATTTTTAAATGTTTTATTTATTTTTGAGACCGACAGAGAGAGAGAGAGAGAGAGAGAGAGAGAGAATCCGAAGCAGGCTCCACGCTCCAGGCTCTAGGCTCAGGGCTGTCAGCACAGCCCACAGACATGGGACTCGAACTCACAGACGTGAGATCATGACCTGAGTCGAAGTCGGACGCTCAACCGACTGAGCCACCCAGGCGCCCTAGAACTGATTTTAAATATCTGTCAATAGCAATTTGCTTCATTTTACTTGCTACTAAAACACAACCAATTGTGCAAACGGATCAGTAAAAAAAATCATAGCGCAGACTTCTGAAGTACTTTTAGTTCCCTTCCCCATTTTTTATATAACTTGTAAAAGGAATATAATTCTGTAGGAGATCATTTTTACTTTGCCAAAAAACAGTAGTTATGAACATTTGATGGCTGTTTCTTCCTCCGTCTGCTCATCCCAAACATAATAAAGAATTGAATGCAATAAAAGTTATGTTAAAATAAAAAAAAGTCATGTAATAAAAAAGCACATGAATTTACACCAATTATTAATGTTGTAAGAAGCTGACATGTTTAATAATTAACAATAAAATTACATTGGTTATATAATAAATATTGATACAAGCATGCCACTGTTCAAAACAATTAAACTTTTACTTAGTCAAATATGTTTTTTAAAAATAATATGGCATTGTGATCAGTTTAATTTAAAGTTGTGTTTTTAAAAGCAATTATAGGGGCGCCTGGGTGGCTCAGTCAGTCGGGCATCCGACTTCGGCTCAGGTCATGATCTCACTGTCCGTGAGTTCGGGCCCCACGTCGGGCTCTGTGCTGACAGCTCAGAGCCCGGAGTCTGTTTCGGATTCTGTGTCTCCCTCTCTCTCTGACCCTCTCCCGTTCATGCTGTCTCTCCCTGTCTCAAAAATAAATAAATGTTAAAAAAAAAATTAAAAAAAAAAAAGCAATTATATAGTTTAGTATTAATGCTCCAATTTAGCAATATAAAAACTATTAAAGGATGATTAAACTAATATACTTATTCATTTAAAATATTTAGAAAATTTTAAAACATGAAAATATGAGGATTTGGAAAATAATTACATACCAGAGCAACTCCTACAGCATAATTCTTATTACATATTTTCCCAGGAAATGTGGCTCCTATAAAACTAAGATGTTTCTTGAAGCTAAAAAATAATAATTTTCCTCAGAATTGCATTTAAGAATGGTATTATTAATGATAATCATTTTCATAGCAACAATTATCAAACAATTACTATGTCCTAAGCACTATGCTACTCTGAATTAAACTATTTAAATATATGTTTTTCAAATCGTCAATGTTAAGAATATTTCGATATTTTGTAAATTGTAAATTTAATAAACTTCCAGAAGTGTAATAAGGATAAGGCCTAATAGCTTATGCAAAAGGCTACTGCACTAACGTTTATAGTTTTTATTCTGGTTTCCTGTACATTCAGTTTTCTGTGATCTCCTTAAAGATGCATAGATTTTTCTGTGCATTAGATTCTAGAGCATGTATAAATTCTATATATTGATGTTATTTAAAAAACAAATGGAGACAAAAATGTAGACAGAGCAAGTAATATAACAAGGAAAGCCAAAGAAATTATATCACTCATCATTAACCTTCTTTAGTTATTTCAGTATTTTCATGTAATTTTACTTTTATCAGGTCATTTTATGTCAGTTGATAAAAGTTTTTAAGTCTTGCCTCACATTAGCTCCTTGAAAACAAGGACTTGTAAATTTACATGTTTTTCCCATCCCATGGTGTCTATCAAATTTATAGGACACAGTATATATTCATTAAATGCTTATTTTCATAATTAACATATGAAATCATTTTGGGTTATTCATTTAATGCTATACAAAAATGGAATACTATACTCACGCAAATAAGTATGCAGTCTGATGAGGTTGGGAGACATGTTTGTATTTCCATTCTAAAAATCTAGATAATATAATATTAGGATTCCCTGTAGTAGAAATTTTGTTTTTATTTGACCAGACTTCTATGGAAGATATTACAACAGTCAGTTTTAACTGTGAAATTATCTAAAAAAATAATAATAAATTTTAAATAAATTTTAATTAAATTATATTAAACTTTCATAAAAATGCATATGACATTTAATGCAGTATTTTGATTATAGGAACTTCAACAGTACAACAAAATATTATACACATCAATTCATATTACCTACACTTTTACAAAATATATAAACAAAATACATAAAAACTTACAGTGTTAACAAAGCCAATTATCTGAATAATCTTCTGTGTTACAACCTTTATATCAGAGCCCATGTAATCAAACTGAAAAAGATAAATTATTTTTAAAAACTAGTGGATGCCATCAAGAAAATATCACATACCTTTCACCTATACAATGTGCTATATTCGAAAGTAGCCACAGGACTATATTCTAGTTGAAATCTAGGAAATC